TCACCATGCATTTGCGAGGTGATAATAAATAGAAATCATTCGGTATGTCGGTTAGCCATAACAAATTAGGTTAAAGAACCTTTTATTATAACGTATGCAAGCAATGAAAGCAAACACTTTGAAAAGAAAATTTAGAAGAACATTTAATTGCCCAAATACAATCTGCAACACAAAGATTGTGTTGACAAGTCTCCGGTTCACTAATCGCTTCATCTGGTTCTTCCGCTTCTTGCGCAGGTTTTCATCAATTTCAGACTCAATCTTTCAATCCTGCTTTTCTTTAAGTGAGTTTATTTAAAATTCAGCAAAGGGCAAAAAAAATTTTTCTTATTAAGTAAGCTTTAGTTAAGCGAAATAAAAGTTAGAAAATAAATTTTTTCAAATTGTTTTTATGTGAATATAAGTAAGAGCTTGGTGTGCCTTATGATAATCAAACGTGAAGGAAATTCGACTTTTTCTAAACGACCGCCATATTTATCTTAAATTAACATACCGAGCTGGTTGCACTCTACGCTCGAAAGCATTTTATCTTTTGTCTTTATTTCAACACAAAAAAAAGAAACAGTTGCGCAACACACATAAATTGTTAACTCGGTGGATGTAGAGTTTTTAGCTTCGTCGTTAATAAATTGACCATTGGAATCGCTGGATGGCCTCCCCGGTTTTCGGGGTTTTCGCGATTGCGCGGGTGACGCGGGGGGCGTCTGCGCCGTACCGTATCACGATCGTATAAGACGTTCTTAACAAACTATCATTCGTTCAATCCGTTTATCCTCGATCAATAAAACCATCGCTGAACCATGTATACAATGAGAAAAGTTGGAATTCGTACCTCATCAATATATCCGTAACTGATAGAGAAGAGAAGAAACTATTTACATAGGGGTCTATGTAAAATAAACTGTGTCAATGATTGTAATTTTGGAAAAATTTATTTAAAAACTTTTATTAAAAATATTTTTGTGTAGAATGACTTACGCGCCATAAAAAGATTTCAGTTTCTTCTAAATCGCAAATTTTTAATGCTTTTTGTTTATTTTCTTATTCTCAATAATTTGTCGGAAAATTGCCAACATCTGAGCGTATAAAAATTGCGTCCTTATGAGAGTAAGCGTATATGTTGTACTGTGTGATGACTAAACTTAACAAAATGCCGGCGTGGGTACGCAACAATTTAGTTGGACCACAGTTTTTATCAATTTATACGCAACAATTTAGTTGCACCACGGTTTTTATCAATTTATTTATTTATTTATTCTCACTATGTAAACAGTTCAACAAGCAAGCCGTAATTTGAAGAATATTTTTGGATTAAAATTATAAAATTGCATTGTGGTTGAAAGATGAGAAAATTAAAACGATATTAATAGAAAAAAAAGCTAGTAAAAATTAAAGCTAGTAGCAATTCATAAAAAAGAAAGAAAAGCAAAAATATATATCTGAGAGTAAGCGTCCACATTTGTTTGTGATTGTTTCTACCTCAGGTGAGCGTCTGAATTTGTTAGAATTAGAGAGTCTGAATTATTTTCTATAAATTCTACAGCTGTTTCTCCTTTCGAATTCAACTACCAGGGATTATTTTCTATACAATATGAAATATTTGAAATTGTTCCTCGGAGCGTAAATCCAGCATTTATAAAGCATGTCATTCATTTCATGTTTCTAGTGAATATTGGCTAATCCCAATGCGCTCTTATATCTTGGTACAAATACAACTGATTTTCGAAAGTGAAAGACAAAATGAAATGCATTAGCTAAATTTCTTTCAAAGACTTAAGCGATAAGAAGGAAAACGCGTACGACTGTAAAAAGAGCCTTCACAACCTACAATATCAATCAATCCCAGCGGGATATTTTAAAAGCAATTGTTGCTTTAATGACTGATATCAATATCAATGAATGAATATCAATTATCGATAGTCTGTAGCGTTTAATTCAGAATGCAGTGTAAGGTGTACGCACGAAGCAGGCTTTTTATTGCGGCATTACTTGGCATTACTAAAAAATTCTGGGTAAATACAGGACCAAAAGAGCAGAGGAGCACAATGCCACCGATGAACAAAATGTAATTGAACTCGACGGCGAGAACGTTGATGTTGGGATCGACGATATCGATATGGCCACGGCTGATGAGGTGGAACATGGTGTAACCGCTAAAAGTAAAAGAAATTTTTTTGTATTTGTTATGCTATAAAATGCAAAATATTAACTCAACAAAGCCGTAACGTTTTTTTTGTCAAAAAAATTCCTCCCCTCCTTTTCAACACCACCTTGAGGTACCGATATGTTTGTTTGAATATAAAAAGAATAAATAATCGTTTTTTTTTTTTTTGGATTGTTGGTTGGAGATGGACTAAGCGAATAGATTTGTGGCTTATATTTCCAGATAATAAAAAATTACCGAGTTTAAAACCTTGATTATGGAAAAAGCTGGATGGAAAAGATGGATTTTCATAAATATCATTGCGTGTATATGAAACGTAATGTTAGATAAGAAAATTCTTCTTTTATGTCAAAAGTCAAGAGTCTAGATGCACTGTGAGAAAACTTGTTTGGTGGTCGTGCCGTCATATTATGCCTCAACCCATCTAATAGGTATAAAAAGTATGTAAGAAGCTGTAGTCTGATACAAACAAGCATTAATTACATGTTTGTTTAATTTCTTTAGGATACGCCCTTATTAAACGTTGACTGGTATTCTCTCGTTTTATCCACAATAAGGTAAAACCTTATACCAAAATTCAGGAATGCAACACGTGGATTTTGGAAACGATTGAAGAGTGACTTCACTTATCAATTAGCCGATTAATATCAAAACGTTATGTGGATTATAAGTATGAGACAAAGTCAATGATAATAGCGCGCTGAAGGAAGGAAACAGAGTTATTACGGATTTGATTGGTGCATCATGTAATTATATTTCAACTGCTCTCTTCATAATAATATAGATATATTTCCAATTTTCCAAATTTTACTCGGACGTGTTAATTCACTGTTTAGTCAAAACGTAAAGAAAGTTTTTACCCAGCAACCATTTGCTTTTGAATTCCGGCAATGAGAGATTCGACTACAACTGAATATTGGTTGGTCGGAGTTTTAAATTTTCATATTCGCACTTTTAGCGGATGAAAACGTAAAAGCCACTTAAACAGGTCTTAAATAAAGCACCTTTACGAACGATGCGATTTGGAATTTTACCTAAAACATGCAAAATAATTACAAAACAATAGTATCAAAAAAGGTATAACATACCTTTCAAATTCATAAGGAACTTAAACATTTGGATATTGCTTTTTCCGTTAAATAATATTTTGTCAGTACACAACTCATATATTGTGCAGCCAGCCGACCACATATTTATACCATAGTCGTAAGATATACCCAAAATAATTTCAGGCGCACGATAAAATCCAGATTTTAAGTAAGGAGTAATTTCGTTGTCATTTATGGTTGAAGCAGAACTAAAATCGCACAATTTCAAGATCAAAGTACTCTCATTAACTAAAGTGGCAATTTTTTCCCAACGAAATCTTATCTAGTCCCAATACCCTTTATTTTCATTAAATTTTATCGCATTTTGTTCACAATTTTATCTAATGGCACACAATTTACTTCGAAGTTTCCGCATTAATAACTGCAAACTTTTCCGGCTACAGACACTTTGCCGACAACAGCTTTGAATTTGAATTACTCTCAGATGTTATGAAATTTGTAGTCGTTTTTTCAATGCAACGCGACAGTAAGAACAACTGATTTCCACTTTTTTTGGTTTCAATAGAACTTTTTACTACGAATCATGGCCGACAGACATAGGCGAAAACAAATATAGTTTTATTTATCAAGTGTAGGCCAATGGACAATATTCATAGGTTAACATCTCAAATGGCTTCACATCCACTCTACGCTGTTTTTGAAGTTCTGATACTTGATTCGCTAATTGAAGTTTGCTTTCTGTATAAGACTCTACGATTTCTTTCGTGGTCATTAAAGAGTTCTTGTCGGCCTCCTTTTGGGTTTTATGCTGTTGCAATAATTCCTTTAATTTACGATTTTCTTCATATGATTCTTAAAGTTAAATGAAAATAAAATAGAATTTTGCACTGACCTTATTGTCAATTATAACATGTTTATATAGTAAGTCTCATTAATATTAGGTATTTTCTTTTGACAAAAATTAAACGCTTGTTATATCTAATCCTTCTTCTTCTGTTATTCAGCAAATTAACAACCGAAAATAACATTAGGCGACCTTATGTGCATTATTTATAAAGCACGATCAAATTAATAAACTATAATGAACAGCAAGCGTTACATTTAGATATTCTAGCTGTCCACTAAGCAGTGAATTGTATCGATTTATTTTAAAATTTCATTTCCTTAAACTTAAAATAGCATTAAGTGTATCCTATGCTATGTAAAATTATCATAGCGGAAAGAATCTCGATCATTCATCGTTCGCAAGAAAATCGATATAGTTTTTGATGCAAACACTGCTCTTATTAAACAATTTTTCTTATGTTGACAACATGTTGGGTTTGATGTCGGCAGGGAGAATGCCCGTTTCCTTAAGAAGTTTTAATGCCAAAAACAATTGTTGCATTTCATGTCGACACGAACGTGGCGAGACACCTGGAAATAGGTAAACCGGACGGATTGCAATGGGGGCGGCGGTATAGTCGAAGGTTAAAGGTCTACCAAAAAAAAGAAATTCGTAAAAACTCTTCAGTTTTAAAATATAACCTTACATTTTAACTTACGTTAATAATTTCTCCGATTGTTAGAACTTTCTGCTGCTTTATACCGTAACCGAAAGCTTCCAACACGTCCGCATGAAGTTTTTTACTCAAACCATCTGTAAGGTTATTTGTAAAAAGTTAATTAAAATAATATATAAATTAATAAGTTATATGTACGCACCATTGTTATGTTTTTCCAGGCATATCATCAAGAGGATATTAACAAATTCATTAAATCCTAATTAAGTGCCTACCTACCATTGGTAAGCCTATACATTTATTCACCAAGTAAAATGTCATAGAATCGAGTCAAAGTGACAAATCGTCATATTACATATTTATTATGTTATTTTTCTGTTCTTTTTAAATATTATTTTTGCAATGTATTTTATTTATTATGATTCGACGCCCTCCCCGGTCTTCGGGCCTACGACATCCGCCACGTCTACCATGACGTTTAGGAGCGGGTGATGCTAGGGTGATGCCCCGACGAGCATCGGCCTCTAGGCATCGCAGGCAATGCCACTGTTCATTGCTTTCCTGATCAAATATAAAAATTAGATTGGTATTAAAAAAAAAAACGATAAAGGCTTACCTATCGACATGACTACTTTCCTTTGATTATGTTTGAATTGACGTTTCTAGAAATTTCAGCGCTTGTTTCCAGCGCTGTAAAGAAAAGTACTCATTATTCAATTATTGCGCGGGAGTAGTGAAATGTTTGTGGAGTATAATTGGGAACCGATTTGGTGGTTTTCTGTCCTGTTGAGAACCTGTCCAACAAGAAAAATTTTAGCAAAGTTGTCAATGAATTGTGTGAATTACTTTATTCCATTTTTTGCATGCATTTCGGTTGTTATTCAAATTTTATTATTTGTTGCTTTTAAGAGCTTAGTCTTAGAATTTATTTCTCTGGCGAAATTAATAATGATAATAATAACATTATGTGTTTATAAAAAAATTACCATATGCATGCGAAAAATTAGATAATTTAAATTCCTTAAACCCAAGTCTGTACCGAAAATTAGATGATTTAAATTTCTTAGACACAACTCTGTGCTGAACTAATGCGCGCGAAAAATTAGGTAATTTGAATGTTGTTTTAAGGTTAGAAACACATTCATCTCCATTTCCTGTGTGTGCGAAATTTAATTGGAAAAAATCTAGTGTGAAGAAAGAGTGATTTCAGCAATAATCTTAATAAGAAATTTAGTTTGAAAAAATCTAGAGAGAAATTATATATATTGAAGTTGAATGCATTTTTTCTTATAATAATTTGGATAAAGTAACCTGTCTTACCATCTACTATTTCAATAAATATTTAGTAGTAGTATAATGTACATCTATTTAACAATAATTCATAAATATTTTAAAAAATTTGCAAACTCAATGAATTCGAAACCTTTCTTTCAACTCACATCTAAATCCATTACCTAGACCGGTGAACAACGCCAGATAAAATGAGACTTACAGTTTAATGTCTTATTTGTTGATTTCTAATTACTCTAACAGAATAAAATGTAAAAAAATTGAATTCTGGACGTTACACAAATGATGTCCGATTAGAAAATGAATTGTTGTTAAGTATTATCGGTTGCCAAGCTTATGCATGTTTGCGATGTCTTAGGGGTTCATTTGCAATTTGGTCCTGTACCGTATGTAAGTGTGTCTCTATGCTGGTTGTGTACATGCTTTTTTTCTTTTTTTTCCTTCTTATTTGTTTTATTGTAGTTATACTTATATTAAGTTTTGCTTTAAGTGCCAATTGAACTCGACTGTTATTTGTTTAGCTGAGTTTCATGTATAAGTAAAATTAAAATAAATAAATAAATGAAGGAATTAATTGAGGATTAACAGAAGAGCGAGAAATCCAGTTAATTCCAGCTAAGTAATTTTCCCAAATAATAAATTACTTAAAGAAGAAAAAACCAAATGCACATTCGCAGGTGCGTCATGCAGCTGCAGGACGATGAAAACGATTAGCGGGAAAAGCAGACAGGGATTAAATATAAAAATTATGAATTTTGGTATAGTAACATGCTTGTAAAAATGTATATAAATAGAATATTTATGGAAGGGAAAGTGAGTAGTAAAAGAATTTCGAGTTGAGCAATCGAAAATATTGTGAAAAATCCTACATTTAAGAAATATAATTGTATATAAATACTCCCACTGTTAAGGAATGTAATTGTAAACAAAAAAAAATTTGAAGTGCATTTCTCTTGACCAAAATGTCCGAGATCTACTGTTACGGATTGTATCTTAGAAAAGTGAATTTTATAACAGCATTGTATATTTCCTTCTGTAATTTACTCTTTAACTTTCTCCGATATATCTTTAAAGATCAACTTTTTTATGACGTCATCCATAATTAGATGTGCGGAAGCAGCATACTTCGCCGCCCGTTCAGTCTGCTCATTTCCCAATAAACCGATATGGCTTGGTACCCAAAGCATTTCAATTTTTTTGCCGGGTGTTGTAATGGTATTCCTTAATTTGTTGATGGTGCTCCATCTCGAAGGATTCGAAGGAAGGAAATATAGCTTTTAATACAGGCAAACTGTCAGTAACAATGACCATTTTCAGTTTGTCTTTATGAGAAAGGTTCGCAGCGTGAAGACTAACTTCGGTTGTGAAAGTTGAAGCACTTTTGTGAAATATACGATTGAACATGGATCGTCTGCACATTTAGTACTGGTAGATTTTGAGCCGTCTGTGTACAAAAGATTCCAACGAGTACTGTCCAATACTTGGGTTTTTTATCTATTAGATTCATGAAGACGTAATTTGGAGTATCTTCTTTCTTGTGCATAGACAGTGAGATGTCAAAAGAGCAGTCTTTCAAAATCCAGGGAGGTTTAACACCAACAGAGCGGGAAATTTTTAAGGGAATGTTCAATTCCTTTCCGATGCACAAACTATGGTCAATTGCAGATGGTGACTTTGCAATTTTCTTCGCAATAACAATCTTTCTTACGTCAT